CGGCGAAACTGGAGCCCAGCCGGGGGAGCACAGCACGTGCTTGGCCACAGGAGCAGATCCAGCCCCACGGAACGGCCCCGGGGCTCTGCCGAAACCCCCCTCCCCTCCCAGCAGCGTGGGAACTGCTGGGGACCCTGCATGTCCCGACAGAGAGAGGAGAGGCTCCACAGCAGCCTCTGGTGCTCCTGGGGTCATCCCGCAGCGCTCGGGGCTTCGGGAGCATCTCCTGCCTGCGGGATCTGCGGTCACCCCGCTGGCAGGGGCTGGAATGGTGGCCCTGGCTGGGAAACCCTGCCCTGGGTGGGTGGCAGGAGGAGCGGGGATCTCTGCACAGCCCCAACATGCAGGAGATAAACTCGGGTTTGTGTGGGTTTTGCACACACTGAGAAGGAGGAGTGTGGCACAGGGTGTCCAGGGAAGGGAATGGAGCTGGAGCACCAGGAGAGGCTGAGGGAGCTGGGAGGGCTCAGCCTGGAGAAAAGGGGGCTCAGGGGGCACCTCCTCACTCCCCACAAGTCCCTGACAGGAGGGTGCAGTGAGGAGGTTTCAGTCTCTTCTCCCAGGGGCAGCACAAGAGGAAGCAGCTCTTGCACAGGAGAGTTTTAGATCAGATATTAAGGAAAACTTCTCCACTGGAAGGGCTGTAAACACTGGAGCAGGCTGCCCAGGGCAGAGGTGGAGTCACATCCCTGGAAGGGTTCAGGTCAGCGTGGCACTTGGGGACACGGAGTGTGGGGAACGTGGTGGCACTGCTGGGTCAGTGACAATCTCAAAGATCTTTTCCAGAGCTGGGGCATGCCATGAGTGTTCTGTCTTTAGCTGGAACAGCAGCAGGAGCAGGTGGGTTCCTTGCACAGGAGCCCAGGGAGGATTTCCAGGCCAAGCCTGGAGATGCTTTTCCCCCGCAGCCACCAGTGGCAGCAGCTTCCTGGTGGGGTGGGAAGTCTTTGAATGTTTGCAATGTTTTGCATTGCAGTATTTGGATGCCAAAGCTATGCAGTGCTGTAAAAGTTAATTAGCCAGATAACTAATTAAAGACTTCTCCCTTTTATTGTTGCCAACTTGCAATTCAGAAAGGGGCTTGTGTCAAAGTGAATCCAGCCACACACCCCGGTGAAAGAAGTGATAAACCATTCACAATCCCATTAACTATTCTGGGGCTGCAGAGGGAAAATCCCATCACTGGCTGGGGGGAAGGAAGGTCCTGATCCCATAAAGCAGCAGCACAGCTGACCAGCCTTGGGTGCCTGCTGAGGACCCTGCTGTAAGGGAACATGACAGGATTTAGCAGTGCTGGAAGGGTCCCCATGAGGGTGACATCCCTGGGGACCTGCTTTGACCTTCCTGTAAAGCTCCAGGGTGGGGTTTATGGGACTCTGAGCTGTGAGGAGGCTGTAAGGACACGAGTGGGGCAGTTCTGCCCCCAGAGAGGGTCCCATGGAATGGGGAAAGACCTCACTGGACAGACAGACATGGACAATGTCCAACCATCTGCCATCATCTCT